TTTAAAAACATAAGGCGCAATTTTTTCTCCTTGAGCTTTCTTTAAAATACTTCTAATGGTGCTGTAATTCTTTGGTTTCATAGTAATAGTAAATTTGATGTAAATTAATTTCATATTAGTATTTTAATATATAGTAATAGAGGTAATCCTATATTAATCATGTTATGGTTTATATTCATCACATTCTGGTATGATAAAGTGATGCATTAAAATTAACAAGTCCATTAGTATTAGCACCATTCTTACTTTTCAGAACGTCATTATTCACCCCGGTCAATTTTACAGCCACATCACAGTCAGCCCTCATTTATAGAATGTTCACTTTGTCTGGTTTTGTTGCAGCATGCCCCATATTAATACCTAAAACATAAATCTGAGCTAAATATTAATATCTTAGTAAAGATCCAAATTACTGAATAAAGTTTAGTACACATATGAAATTTGGTATATTTAATAAATGCCTTGTTTATTGTTAATTAGTTTGTTGCAATATTGGGTACAACAGCATTATTCTCCTAAATATAAATAGAATTAGAGTTCATATTCAGTTCTTAATATTAATATAGTAATAATAATGTGTGTAAATTGAAGTAATCAATTTGTTCTATTACTATAATAAATTCAGATTATGAAGAAAACATTATTAATCTGAAGTTAAGCTTTGGTCCCATAGTATTATTAGTCAAATTAGGTTATTTCAAAATTGTTTATGATTGGTGGACGGTTTTCTAATTTTGGTAAGGTTCAACAAGAAAAAAAAGCACTTTCTATTACTATTTCTTCCTACTTATGTATATTATACTGTACTTGCAGAATTTGGAGTAGCAATCAACTATTGTAATTGGACTTGCGGTTTTCAGGTTAAAATTTCAGCGAAAAATTCAAACATTATGAAAACAATATTAATACATTTACAATGTTAACAAGAAAATTTTTTGTTATTACTCATCACTATTTATACTATTAGTACAGTTTTAAAGAATGAGTTAATAGTAATAGGTTTGTATATATTAATACTGTATTAATATATATAATAATCAGCAGAAGTGCAGTAAATGTAAGGTCAACGGACAAAAGAAAAAGTGGAATGGTCTCCATATTCATGCTGGAAACTTACCCATAGTTGTTGCCTATAGAATTAGATTCAAACATGAAAGGGTACTTCTTACCGACTTCAGCCACCAAACGGTAACGGCACTCTTGAGTGATAACCTGCCAGTTTTCCTAATGGCGTACGTATATCGTAAACATATCGTAATCACCAGAAGAGAAAAAAAGAGGGACTAGTCAAAATGTAAATAATAATAATAATAATCATAATAATCATACCATATTAATATAAAAATATTAAGTAGAGTGCACACATTCTGTCAATGGCGTAAATACGTAATTTCCTTTCCACGTGATAAGAGACAACCCGTGTTGCATGGTGATCACTCTTGCATGCATTATGCCTGGTCAGTCTGTCAAAGGTACAAAGTTAGAACTACCACCCTTTGCCCTTCTTCCATCATCCAACGTTTAATTGGATAGTAAAAAATTCCTTAATGAATTGGTATGACATTCATGTGGCAGAATGAGAAGTTTGTTACATAGAATCGGTGACTAAAAACTGGAAGACAAGGGCCACAGTATCACACAAGATAAATTACCGAAACGCTTGCTTAACGCCCTGTAATTCTGTATAAGAGTTCATTATGAGCTTAATTCGTCTCGGCAGACGGAGTGTTTCATTTATTCGGTCCCAGAGATTTGGTACCTTGTGAAATCACAGGTGATACCTAAGCGTGATTTTCACATAATAATGTAACGCTGTCTTCATCTACACATTCAGACAGAGAGAACTTTCGAATTACTGGTTCCTATCAAAATACCAAGGGTATCTGAGAACTCAATGACCAAAGAATCCATTTCGTTTCTGTCGCCTCACTGCAATCGGGTCAGGCATTCACTTGATAATTAAGTAATAGCGCGACAACCACCTAAATAGGGAACGAGAACTGGCTTGATAAAGTTTACAGAAATCTTTTGGACATGAGACACAGCAGAATACATACCAGTACTGTTCGGAAGGTGCTACTTGCGATACTCGTCACAGTTTTATTGCTAACAATTCGCGTTTACGCTTCAGAGTCAGACAGTATCACTTCTCAACCATCAGAATCACCGTTATCGTCTGGATCCTCTCCAACCGCTCGCCCGTCCAGAGACCTCACTCCCGAAGAACAAAAGCAGAACTTTCAACTCTTAATCACTCCAATTATCTTTGTCTACAACATTCTTTATGCCATAACCTCCAAGATAGTATCAATTATTCTATACTGTCTTACCCCAGTCTTTTTCATTCTCAGTGTTTTGTATCATATATTCCTCCACGCTCCATACACAGTAGTCAAACGCATCTTCACAGTGTTTTATCCGTTATACGTTTTCTGTACTGTCGCAGCAATAATTGGAACGTTTGTTGGTGGAGTTGCTGGATGGTTTTCCGAAATTATCGTCAGCGTTCTTAATGCTCCAGTTGGGGCCATCATATCCGATCAAGAGAGCAAGCGGGCAAAGGCAAGAAGACGAGCAGCTATACTTGCCAGTCTAAAAGAACGACATGGAAATAGGCTGCCTGATGAGCTGAGAGATAAATTGATCAATGCTCAACAGGGATTGCGCGAGAGACGTGGATATAACGGTGTCAGTGAAGGGTTCTCTGCAAGTAGTTATGGTGATAGGATTCGCTATGGCGACAGATACATCTCGAATCAGCAGCCTTTAAGCGGAGGTGGTGTTGTGGTTGGCAATTAGAAGAGGCATGGTCGAGATGTGAGGAGGGGAAGGACTTTTTTTTTTCTTTTCGGGCAAATATAGTAGTGTAGTTATCTTTTCATTGGCTTTATTATTCAATAATACTTTGTCATTTATGGAAGTTTCGTATTCCAATGACATTGGGAAAATAATTTTGTGCAAATCTTTAACGCTCTCGAAAACACATTAATGACAACAACAAGACAGTCATTAAAAATCGATTTAACATATCAGCGTAAAAACATTACAATTTTATTTCGCACAATTGAATCGATAGAATGTATTGCGTTCGGTAATTCAAAGATATTTACAATTGCTATATAGTCAAGCACAAACACACTAGTTACTCTATCGTACATTTGACACATCATATATTATAAAAGGTACAAATATGTAACATTATGACCAAAAATTATTTTAGCAAAAAATAGAATGTCTTTAGTATGCTCTGCAATTTATAGTCCTGGTTCATCCCCGGCGACCTCCTACTCTCTTTATCCTATTCCAACCGAGAATCATATACTCGCTCGCGGTTCATGTTAGAATTTTTCTCAAGTCCGCTTTTTGTTTGTCAGTCAGTCTTGCCGGGAACTCGATATCATACTTCACAATCAAGTTTCCTTTATCTCCTGATTTTTTAGGCATTCCCTCATTATGAACTACCTGCTCAGTGCCAGGGGTGATTACGGACGACTTGTTTGTAATAAGCAACTTCCTTCCGTCCAAAGTCTCGATTTTCTTCTCAAAACCGCACAATGCCTCAACGAGTGTTAACTTTATAACCACCCTAAGGTCATCCCCATCACGTTGGAACACGTTATGTGGCTTTTCCTCAATGAGAATAACCAGATCTTGCACTTCTCCATTGGGCAACTCATCTCCTTTGGCGGGAAACCTTATTTTCGAACCCGCCTTAAGTCCGGGTCGGATTGGAATAACCACTTCTTCCTCTGTAGGTACTTGTCTTTTGGTACTCGCGTCGAGCAGTTTACGCTTCACTTTCAACCGCTTTGATGCGCCTTTATAGAGATCTTCGAGCGTGATTGGGTACCTGACAACCGCCTCTTGAACTTTTGGTTGGGAAAAGGGAGATTGTTGACCAAAATCGCCGAACCCACTGCCACCCGTTCGTGAAAAGAAGTCACCATCACCAAATCCCATGCCACCTAAGCCACCCAAGCCACCACCCATCTCTGTAAAGACTTTTGAGAAAAGGTCTCGTGGATCGCTTGGATTAAAGCCTAGTTAATTGAGAAAAGGACGTAAGTCGACGATATACAAGAAAATTCGTAAAAATATACCCCATGTTTTATTTATAACGAAACATACCAGTCGTCTTAAATGTGAATGTAGTGCCACCACCTCCAGGATGAAATCCTGAAAAACCAGGAAATCCACCGGGAAACCCACCAGCGAATCCACTGGTGCCATCGGCTGATGGGGGAGGAGGGCCCCCTTTGAGGCCCTCTTCACCATACATATCATATATCTGACGTTTGTTTTTATCGCTCAACACCTCATATGCTTCACTGATCTCTTTGAATTTTTTTTCTGCTTCCTCTCGGTTTGCTTCTTTGTTTTTATCCGGATGCCATTTCAATGCTATTGGAAAAATAAACGATTGATTACAAACAATCGTTCAAAAAGTCGACATGTGTGAAAGGGTATAGTTGTTGATTATCAGATATTACCTAATTTCCGATAGGCTTTCTTAAGGGCGTCGTCGTCTGCGTCCTTGCTGACTCCCAGAATTTTGTAATAGTCTTGACCCATTTTGTTATGTTTTTTTGGACGGTTTGTTTTCAGAAAAAGTGTCTTATGCGATTCCCGAACGTCAAGCGTTTTTATGGATATCGGGCAAAATTCTAGATATTTGGAGTATGTTGTAGAAGTTAATATTTGCTGGAACATTCTATCACATGTCGTATGAATAATAAATAGCGAATTATGACGTCATAAAATATGTACGCTTAAAAGACCCCAATCTTTTTCAAACGGTTTTAGTGCGACTACCAATATCGTGATTTATTGAGAGTTTAGTGCAGAATTGTTGGGTTTAAGATTTATCGAATCTCCGGCAGCGTCGTTGAGTCTAGTGTAAGTGAAGCCAGGGGACGTTATGTGATTGATTTCATTTAGGCAGGTTCGTACTAGTTGCATTGACTGGGATGTAGTCAATTCGAAATTATTGCACACACACGAATGCACAATGCGGAGAGATAAGAGAGGACATGAATAGAATTGGATGTAGCACGTACAGTACGTGTTAGACGTACCTGGTGTTTAATCGATATCAATTGTCGAATATAGTCGAGACTAGCACCGCTGAAGCGAGAGCGAGAGGAGCGTGGAAGGAGAAAGATGGTAGATATAATGATGCCGGATTGTCATGTTGTTTGGTGTAATTGATAGAACCAACCTAAAGATGGAAGCTGACAGTACTGTTTGATGTGATTCGTTTTTTCATGAATTGCTATGACTATTCACGATCTTAATAAGTGAGGGAAGAGATGAATTTTACATTGGTAAGCATTTCATTATTGTTGTTATCAGAGCGTTTCGAATTAAACATTTATTCATTGGATTGCCTACTCGTTTTCTTTTCCTTTACTTCTTTGTCATCTGCTCACGAATAGTCAATAGTCAGTTAACTATGTTGACTTGCTTTGTATGGTTGAACGGAGATGTTTACTGACTAGATTCATTCCGAGTTGTCAAAATCACGTATTGCGAAACTTAATTATGCAGTGGGAGAAATATTATAATTGTTTATTTTGAATGACTTGCGTACATGTATTTTCCACTAATACTATTTCATAACTTGAGAAAGATGAATTAGAATATTTAGTTTAAGACGAGAGACTAAGTGTCAATTCATACAACGATTGTGGGGCCATCGGTGGCGGAGGCGACCTGACCATGGCCGATGATGGTGTTTGCAGGTGTTGCTCTATGGAAGACTTTTTCGAAGAATCCGCTGAATATTGGGTTGATGCATTGGAGTTCGGTCAATACGTCCTATGCCGAAAGATTGATCCTTTTACGTCGACCCAGTTGTATACTTTTTCTTCCTCTGCCTCCTGTTCGTTGATCACTTTATCAATCCGGTCGACTTTTTCCGCAA